TGCGGGTCTCGGGCTCCCCGGGCAGCCCTTTGCCCACAGTAAAAATACAGAGGGGAGCGCTTGTTTTGGAGCAGATCCGGTCCCGGATTCGGGAATCTGGCGTTAAAACACGCCGTGCCCTGCTGGTAGGCGCCTCCCTGCACCGCTGCTCGCCTCGCTAAGGGGCCCTGGCGCTTCTTGCACCTTACTCGTCCCCAGGCACCCTGCTGTAAAACCCGGGGGCCCAGCTACAGCAGGGAGCAGCGCTGGGCTTTTCTTTTTTTCTTTCCTTTTTTTAAATCTGAGATCAGGCAAAAACTAAAAGAAAAAATACTATTTTTTTCTGTTACGCTGCTGCATGAGCAGGTGGCTGAGGAGATGGCCTCTCGCAGGCCCAGCAGAGCCAAGCGACCCTGGCGCGAGCGCCGCAGGCCGACGAGGCTTTACTGCGCACCCGCGGGATAAGCTCGAGGTTTCCGCCGGGAGGCCTGGAGAGGGCAGCGGGGCAGGACTGGGCAGGGTGCAGCGCATCCCTGGCACCGCGCGTCGCCCCGCTCCTCGCTGCCCGCCAAAACCCACGTTTTCTGATTAATGCCCCGCTCCGAAGGCCGAGCCCGTTATTTACTGCAGCCGTGTGTGCACAGCTGCTCCACAGAGAGAAACAGCAATAAACACGAGTAGAGTGATGAGATTCTTCATGCAAATTAGCAACTTGGAGCATCCCACAGGGGAAGAAACACTGAGTCTCTGTGTCCCGGGGCTTTGCAGGGCTCTGCTTCAGGATATGAGGCAACACAGGCCAAACATAACCCCAACCGGCCGGATTCAGTGTCTTGTCCTTCCTCAGCCTGGAGGGAGGAGGAGGGCTCCGAGTTCATGGTATTTCCAGACGTCAGCAGTGGACAGTTTTGTGTGCAGTTTTGCTTGGTGACATCAGAGCCCTGGCTGTGTGTTCGGCCGTTGCGCAGTGGGAAGGATGTTGCTTTGCTCCAGCTGCTTTCCTGCAGCACTTCAATCCTGCAGGTAGATGGATGTTTCTTGGTAGTCAGTAGCCACAGGCCTCAGCACAAGAGCCCATTGTACCACCCGGGATGCAGAGTTGATGCTCCCACGAATTAATGGCAGCAGATACGTCCTGGGAACCTGATAAATCTCATTCCACAACAGCTTGCTCCCTCCAAAACCTGCTGCGCTCCTTTGTCTTCATTCTCTCTGGGTGTTGTCCAAAAACTTTCCTTTTCACAACTTTTGGGTCCTTCCACATTACAGATGAACAAACAACGAAGCAAGTGGGAAGTGCGAGCAGCAGAGGAAGAAGTTTTGTGCCACAGCAGATCTTTCGCAGCATAAGGACATGTTAAATTCTTACGATAGGGCAGCGAACAGACAAAGAAGAATTTTTTTTTCCCCTCTGCTCCAGCCTCTGCAAATCTCAGGCTGAAGATTAGTTTCAAGTTGCAGACAGCCTAATCAATCTGGGCTGCCCCAGCCTGGTAGCAGGTCTCGGCTTTTCCTATGGTGAGGGAATTGCTTACTGCGTTACAGATAGGAGCGATCCGATTACAGATGGGATCTAAACTTCCCTGAGGGCAGGGCATGGCCTTGGGTGCCCACATCACACCTGCTGGCACTCTTTGACTCTCGGGGGCAAATGAGCTACCCCGAAGTCTTCCTTTTGGGCCAGTATCTGGCCCAAAGAAGAGGAGGAGGTTTTAGGTCTTTCACTTCTCAGCGCTGTCCTGGACAAGGTAAGTGGACCAGGTTTTTGAAGGAAACATTGCTGCAATTTAGGCACAGAGGTGAATTCTTTGTGTTGGCTTGCACCTCTGCTGGTGCAAAATGGACAAATTCAAGGGGTGTTATAGGGCGAAAGAGCTGCCCAAGGATTATTAGAGCAGTTCCAGGTGCTACGATCTCCTGAGCTATGTTCCTGTTTTCCCATCTTTGCGAAACAGAAGATCACAGGTAACGTGTGCAGGAAGAACAGCTGCCTCTCATTGGTTGGGATATGGAAGAGAAGTGAATGCTGCATCTTTGCTAAATAACCACCTAGTGAGACACCCACACTCCTGTTTGGTGCAAACACAGGCCAGCTAAGGGCAGAACAGTCTCGAAGAGGGATCCATCAGGTGTATCACACAGAGCAAAACAAGATCCTGTGTGCAGCTTGTCTGTAGTCTGTCCGAAGGAGGCTGCTTCACCTGTTTAAATGAGAGGCAGCAGTTGTCGCTGGCCATGTTGCCTGGGATCTTCTTTTAGACACTGACTATTTGCTGCTCGGAGCTCTCGTTTTGCCTGCTGGCCGGGCAGCCGCTGCGAGGGCTCCAGCGCTCGGGGGACAGACACTTCCTTCTGTTGAGAAAGAACCCAAATTTCCTGAGCTCTGCTCTGCAGAAGACACGGTTTCATCGGGTTTTGTGGTAAGGGCTGAGCTTGAGAGGGAGAAAAGGGCTTTTTTGTAGCTGGCAGGCTTTCCGAGTTCCTCTGAAATAGTCATCTATTGCTGCCAGGATTTGTTTTGTTGTAATATTAATGATCTCTCTGGGCAGCTTGAGTTTCATATACACATCTTTTTAATTATTAAAACAAAAATAGCTGAAGTATAGCTGCAAAACCTTCATGCTGCATTTCAGTTTGGATTTTAAGAAGGGATTAATTGTAACTTTAAATACGAAAATACATAGAAAAATACATACATGCTAAACATCTAGGATCAAAAGTACTTTTTGTCTGCTATACATAACTTCCTATATGTAAGCCCATGTTACATACTATTGCATGAGTTGCAAGGAGTTCATCTTGTGCTTTCCGATAAGCAAAGCTACTTTTTTGAGCGACTGCCCCAAATGATGAGAATAACTCCGTGTTCTCCTTTGCTTTCGCATAAAAATGGCAATGTATAAACCTCCTTTATGCAGATGGAGACACTCCAGCTGTCAGTCCCCTGCTAAGTTGGTCATATTCATAAGCTAGCTGGTCATAATACAAAGCTAGATGTGCAGAGCAAGATACTCACTTGACAGACCTACCGTCCTTTGAGCCTTTAGTTGTTTATAATTTTAGCACAATGTTTTACAAGTCAGTAGCCTTTCTTAGGTATTGTAGCTGCATAAAGGCTATTAGTCACCTGCAGATTCCTGTTTACCTTTCAAGTATCGCTGCCTTCCAAGGGTCCACGTTTGTATTTTCTATCACATTTTGTATGCAACTTAGTTCAGCACAACTTCTCCTTTGGGCAGATTCCTAGAGGCACGTTAGACACTGAGGTGCTGTTGCTTTTATAGAAGAAAACTTGCAGGTGAATGAAGGGAGGGCAGGTGCTGAGCTGCGAGACTTCTCCAGGACCAGAGAGGAGCCGGAGGATGACAGTGTGGGGAAGTAACCCCCAAATTCAGTGCTCGTGTGTTCAGGGGGGACCTGGAGTAAACCTGTGCACTCGTGGAAATTGCTCGTTTGTTCAGTAGTGTTGGTAATAAAAATAATGAATTGAAAGTCAGCCTGAGAGTCATTATTTAGTCTTTACATTTTTTATGTGATCCGAATACATTCTTTTGATGTCTCCTCTTTATTTCATTGTTGTGTTATTTTCATTTTTATGTCTTACATGTTATGCACTTTTTTTTTTCCTAATTCAGAAGAATAAAACACTTCACACTTCCTGTCTTCCATTTTTATATATAATCTCTATATTTTAAGGCAAAATAGTGTTCTTATTTCTCAGTTATTTCATTTTTTTGTTTGTTTGTTAGCACAACTAATGAGGAAACAACAGAGGCCTCAAATTTATTAATAGAACATTAATCATCTCTACTATTCTGGCAAGTAGAGAATATTGCATTTTTTAGAAGAAGTGCATATTGATTCTGTTGGTCACCGCGATGACTCCACAGGGGAGTAAAAGCTCCATAAAACGCAGCCCACATTACGTATCCTGGATTCCTAGTGCACTGATGTCATCGGCGACGCGGGCTGCGTAGAGCAGACGTGTGTAAGTCAAGCCAGCCACGGGATTTTACAGCGTCCATGAAATCCTATCCTCTCTGCCTGGAATAGATCATGACAACATTACATGTCCCTTCAAGGAAACAGGGTGCCAGTCTATCAGGGTAAGGAAAGTGCACTGTTGGCATGAATATTCAGTGACTGGAATTTTATCCAATCGTTTTGATAAGTGCAGAGAATGCAGGTTGATTTTATCACAAAAACATCATCTGAAAGTGTGTATTTTTTATTTAGATTCATAGCACTTGTTACTTGAAGCAGAATTAAGTGATTTTAAGAGTTATAAAACCAGTGTTCTGCTTTCCATTGGATGGAGGCTAAGGAAAGATCAGGACACAGTGAATAGGCGGGGGCCAAGACAAAAGGTTTTCCTGTCTGCAAGACTGGCTGGCCGAGGACTTCAGGGAAGAGAAACTTTGCAGCGATTTCCTCGTGGCCTGTTCAGGCTTCGGTGGTTTTCCATGTTAACAGGTGAATGACCGTGTCTTTGCCAAAGCCGTCTTGCCTGGAGCCTTTCACCTGCTCAGTGAGCCAGGCCAGGGCTCCAAGTTGTTCCCACCTGTGGGCAGCTTGGGTGGTGAAGAAGTTTTCCTGTATCCCAGGGAAAGTCTCCTGAATACCTAAACTCCTGCACCTGGCAGAGGCCTCTCCTGCCCACTGGCAGCTGCCTCCAGTGCACACATGCACCGCAGTGTCCTAAATATCTTTGCTTCACATTCCTGGTCCTTAAGAGTCCGATTTATCTTCCAGGAATATGAATATTCTTCCTTCTGTAACTACCAGCTCCCCAGTGCTGTTCCCCATCGCAGATACACGTGGCTTCCTCGCGAGTCACGTGCAATGACAGCGTCAGCACTTACAATATGGTTTATATTCTTCCTGCATCACTTGTTCTCTCCTCTGCTTCACCAGGGCAACTTAAAAAAAAAATAAAGTAAAAGAGGGGGCAGGTTTATTACGGAAGTGGAGCCTTTTGACTTCTGAACCCTCAAATTACACATTTCTATCCCCGTTACTTCCTCTCTTTTCCATTTCCCAGAGAACTGATACAGGCTCTTTGTGAAAGCCTATGTAGAGAAATCACAAAGTTCTGTAGAAACAGGCATGAAATGTCCCTTGACTGCAAGGGGGTACCAGGCAATGAGGCAGCGCGGCAGAGCATCATTTCTACAGCAAGTTCTATTGTTACTTAAACAGTAAATTAAATGCAAGTCTTCTCTGAGGCTCTCACCCCCTCCAAATTGGGACTGAGTACACTCAACATTGGCAATGTTTCTTGACATGCTGCTCCCCGGGACAGGCTGAGCCAACCTGCAAGCTACTTGCCACTCGAGGAGGCTGCTCTCTCCCCACCGCCTGCTCTCACTGCCTGCCTGGTGCCTGGCTCTGGTCCTTGGCTGGGGGACGACTCAGCTCCCTGAACAGTGGAAATCCACCACCAAAAAAAAATCAAAAACTTTTACTGCGTCCAAGGGCTGAATCAGACTAGCACGAGACTCAGCAAGGGCGAGAGAGGAGAGAAAGCCCGAGCTGCACCTGGGGCTGAGCCGAGCCAGGCCAACATGGGCTGCTTTGCCACGTGTTTTTAGCCAGATCAGCTCCTTGCCTTGGTTTGGTGGTGGTTGCAGAAACCAACAACAGGAGGGAACAGGAGAGACAAGGACTGCTTAGACGATTCTGCAGCCAGAACTAAAAACTGAGCCCAAAACGTGATTGTTCCTCACGATCTCAAGGGAAGAATCACTTTGTATTTGGCTGCAGAGCCCCAGGTGCTGACCTGTTACCGTCAGCATTACATTTGCTCTTCTACAGCCACTATTGCTGAAAGTTTCAGAGGTGCCAGGAGTGGGAAACCAGGAGCGGGAAAGCCAGAGATTTGAAAACCTGTCTGACCTAAATTCTAGTTCAGCAGCTCTTGTTAAATTTTCACAGCAACGGGGCTAAGAGAAGCATGAAATCTCCACTGGATTCCAGTGCACCAATTTCAGGGCACTCTGAATACCTGCCATGCTGACAGGGCCCTGTTTCTCAGCCCTAGTGAGCCGGGTGCTGCTCTGCCCATTAGGTGCCCAAGGAAGCTTTTTGTCAAAACCCACAGCACATCGGGTGCATCTACTGGTCACTTAAATCTCAAGCAGTTAGTTTAGCTACATAAGCCTCTTGTGAGCAGGACCTGGGAACTCCAGCTGCATCAAAGGCTTTTTGGTTTTGTGTTAGGTACAACAGAAATAGAAAAAAAAATATTTCCCAAGCAGCTTGCAATTTAATGAAAGAAAATTACAAGTATGCAACAAGCAGTTGGGAAGAAGGGAAGGGATGAGAAAGCCATGGTAAAAGCTGGTTACACAAACATCCATATTTCCAACTCCTAAAGCAAACAAAAATCAGCTTCCTCTGCCTATTTTATCCACCTTAATTTTATTTTACCTGACAGGTCTTAAACACAAATATGCAAATGGCAGATTCTTGGCCATGGAGGATGCCTTAGTGGCTCTCACAGGGATCTGCCTTGGACTGAGTGCTTTCCAGATACTCTTTCTTCCAATTCACTGTTGGTAAACTTTGAAACAGTCCTGGAGCGGTAACTTCAATCCGAGTAGACTTCTTAGTAGGGGAACTCACTCAAATCACATGCTTCAAGATGCCTGAAGCCAAGGGCCACATTCCTAGGAGCAACAACTGTTACCCAAGAGGAGAGTAAGCGATGACTTGACTCTAAACCTCAACAACAGTATTTGCCAGCAGGAGACAGCTGTGAGCAGAGGAAAGTTTCATCACAAAGAAAACCCTAAGTCCCCAGCTGGCTGGGATCTGAGGCTGCCACACTGCAACTAATCCCCCTTGCAACAATTTGTTAAACAACATTGTGGCCTCTCCATCACTGAACTCTACCTGAAGATGAACCTTCCTCCCCAACGTCAAGCTATATCCCAAAGGGATTTTACGAAGCAGAAGTCACCATTACTGAAAGGGCCAAGACAGATAATCATGATAATCCTTTTTGGTTGAATTGAATTACTAACATTTCCATATCAACCAAACAGAGCCAGCCCATCTCTCTACCTGTAAATGAGATGCAGAGAGCAAGAGAGAAGGAAAAAGCGATACAAGCACGGACATATACACAGCATTTTATTTGGGAAATCCCATTCCAAGGCAGACGAGCACTCCTTTGAATGCGTGGGGCCAGGACTTCAAGACTGTGTAGGCATGGAACTACTCCCTTCGAGGACAGACTGTAAATACATCGTTTTTCTAGCACAAAGATACAGTTGCTTAGTAATTTCAGTTGCACATGCTTTCGGTGGGAGGTTTTAAGTGATTTATATTTTTAATTGACTTGGTTAGAAACTTGACTACTAAAGGCATTTACCGCATAGTACTGTATTTTTGAAACTCATTCTACATTTAAGCTATTATTAAGCTATTCTCTGTGGAGATCTGAGTTCTCCTGAGAAAGCTACCACAGAAGAGCCTCCTCCAAGTTACTGACAGAATAATTTACATTCCCCTGTCTGACAATTTGCAGCTATCTCTTATAAAAATACTTAGTCTTCCCAAGCTTTACTCATCTCAATCTTAAATGATTCCTGAGATAATGGGCACTTTTTTTTTTTTTTCTGAGACTGCCCTAAGACAACTGGCCAAAACCAGCCTCAGCATTATTAAACAGCCTCAGCGTTACCCACGGAAGCAGCAGACTCACTGCTGCAGGAGGTGTGGTGATGTCCCTCTGTGTAAAACCTTCCTTGGTGCCCTGCTGGCCACCACGTGTGGAGACGGGTCACAGGCGGGTGCCAGCTGTGGCAGAGGGCTCCTGGTGCTGCGTCCCTGCGTCCCTGGCGAGGGCTCCGCGCGGCCCGGCCCGCCCTGCCGCTCGCATTTCATGGCGTGGACGGCATAGTTAAGGCTCCTGCTTTCCCTCCAGCTCCACGCCCCCGTAAGGGGATTGTACAGCATCCCGTTCACAGCCTTCACGGAAAAGCCACCTAGGAAAACAAGAAGGTGTAAAGTGACAGATGCTTGCCAATACTCCAAGTCACTGCGGCATCACTTTAGAGGGGGTGCCTCTTCCCCTGAGCTCTGGAACAGCACTTGTTTTAAGGCTGCTCTGGTCGATGCCATGCAAGCTGGGCACGAGGCAGCAGCACCGGCCCCAGCTCCTGACGGCAGCAGCTGTGTGAGACACAGGGCCTGGCCCATGGCTGCAGGACACCACGTGGGCGAGACTGCTAAGAGTTGTTGCAGGTGGACAGTTTCTTCAGATCAACATCACTCAATACCCGATACGTCCTTGGGAGGGTTCTGGAGATGCCCCTGAAGGAGAGCAAAGGCAAGAGGCAGAAGAATGCAACCGGGTCCTCAGAGCAAGCGAGCAGTGCTGCAGCACTCCCTGCGTCACTTTGCTGGGTCCCAGCAGAATACACCAGGGAAGGCAGAAAGCAAACACGCTACCTGAACAAACCGCTTCTCTGCACCTGCCTCTCCTCTGAAGGGAGGCTGGAAAGAGCAACCAGCAGGAGAACAAGGATTACTCGTGTACCTTATGGCATCACTGCAAAGTGCTAGGAGAAGAACTTAAGAGAGTAATTCAAATCATACATCAGCTTCTCTACAAGGGACTAAGGCAAAGTAGGTTTTTTTTTTTTTTTTTAATACCGTTTGTACAGAAGGAGGTCACTGGGCAGTGCTTTATTTTGAAGTAATCAAAATGAGGGCAGGTTAATTCTTTGCTCAAATCAGTTTCTCAAGAGCTGACTGAGAAACTTGTGGTGGGTTTCACCTTCACATTTTTAGAAAACTTTTTAATAACATGAGTAGAGAAAAAGAAGCAGCTGCCAAAAGAAGAAAGCACCTTCTCCCAACACGAAGATGCCAAACAGTGCAGTTGCATACATATGCGTATATGTATAACAGTTGATATCTCCGTGCATTCCCACCGCCCAGGCTGGTACTTACTTGATTCCAGGAGGTGCTGTAGCTCTTCAGGGGGAACAAACTTCTCCCACTCGTGTGTTCCTTCTGGGACAATGCCTATTATTTTTTCTGCAACCACAATTCCCAGGACATAGGACAACTGTGTTTTATTGATTGTAGTAATGAATAAAGAACCTTCAGGCTAATTAAAAGATTAAAATGTTCAATTAGAAGAATATTTAACATATTTAACAGAATTAAAAAAAAAACCCTCAAAGCTTCATTGCACTAAACTATATAATTTGTCTATGTACAAATCTACATGCTTTAAGAGAACTGATTTAATGCCAGGACACACACTTACAAGTATACTGTTTAAACATAATACAAAAGTCAGAATATAATGTTCTAACAGTGTGACTCAGTAGTCTTCAGTCACCATAATCACAGCCTTGGATTACCTGAAAACTATCTCCTTGTTCAAAAAACACTTACCCTAATCACATATAACAAATACTATTGCCCCCGCCCAAAAAAGAAAGAAAGGTATAAGGTTTCTGCAAGATATAAGTATGTATTTCCACTCTAATTAAAACTAAAAGAAAATGAACACTGCTTAACTTAAGTTTAATGCTTGTTTTAATTATTTCAAGGAGAAAAACAAAACCCAAAAACAGAACCAGGAATTAACTGTAATCATGTAAAAGAATGTCTGACAGAAACAAAGGATAATCTCACCCCGGAGAGGTCTGATGTAACCAGATTTCTTGAGGTCTTGATGCAACGCAACACTGCAATATTAAGTAATGCCACTAAGGCCGGGTTGGGGGAACAAATTCCCTTTAACTTCAGTCACTGAAGTTGGGAAGATACACTTCTTGCATCCTCAGGGAAAATAAAAGGCATCTCCAGATGCCTTTCATATTTTAAGCACTTCAGTGTGGAGGAATGAATCCAGACTTAGGTGTTTTCACACACTTAGCTTCAAATAAAAGCTTTAATAATAAAAGAGAATAAATTTTCCCAATAACGAAAGCAAAAGCTCCCTTACCTTAAGCACCTGATAGCAACACTTGATAAACATTTCAAGGTCAGCCACATGCTCCACTACTTCAGAAGCTACGATTACATCAAAGGTTTCCACAGACTCTTCCACAATCTCCTCTAGTGAGCTGCTCTTGTACTGCACTCTCTTGGCCAGGATGGGATCAAATGACTTGTGCCAATCTGCTGTCCTAATGTTGTCCTCCACAGGATCAATTCCGGTAACCGAAGCTCCCAGCCTACCTAGAGGCTGATAATACAGGGGGTAATTTATTCTCTGCATAAAAGCAATTTACCTAAAGGCAGCTGCAACATCCAGATCTGCATAAACAAACCTGAAAACACTTGCAGCTAACATTAATAGCGGAATAAGACAAACAACAATAAATGATTGCCTCAACTATATTAAGCTTTGATTCTCCAGCTTTATTTGAAGGTTCATTACAGATAAAGCACAAACAAAAAGAGAAAAAAAAAGCATGGAATTTCTGGAGGAGAAAAGAGAATACTCTTAAATGCAAAAAAGTTCCTACTAACATGTATCTTTTTTTTTAAGAATAAATTGGTCTGAATCCATTTTGCTATCCCAAATAAAGATTTCTTCCACTATTAGCATCACATACAGAAAAACAAAGGGGGAAAACCAATGCAGTATTTAATTACTGTCATTACTTTCTTCAACATCCTCCAGTAAAGTGTAGTAAAGCCTCATATCTTTTTAATGGTTACTTAATATATGATTATCTCTGGGACGTTCTCACTGCTGAGAACTAAACACTGGTGTTTACTAGGATAGCATCAGAGTTGGTTGTCACTCAAGTTTCTCTAGTGTCTTCTTACTTATGGGTTAACACCTCAGTCATCACCTCGTTTGAAACTGAAACAGGCTGCAGAACATGACCACATGTATGTTATTCCAGCCTGGAATTCGCCAGTTACTCAGTTTGAGAAGCTTATGCAGTATTACAATTTTGGCATGTCTGAGAGCCAAGTCTCGCAAGACTAGAGAATTTTGCTTGAAATAACAACAAAAAGTGGGAAGAGACTAGAGTCACTTTTGTAACACCTCATGTTTCAAGTGCTGATTAAAATTCCAGAGAAACTCAGCCAAATCTGCAACCCTAACTTTGCAAACTATCTATTGTAAATCAACTGTCAAACTACCTACTATTGATAGGAAACAGCAATGCCCAGAGAACTGGATCTCATTCCTTCCCAACCCCAAATTTGTGAAGACTCCTCGGGGAGCAGCAACAGAGCCAACACGAGGAGACTCTGCTGCCAGACAGGAGGTGTATTGCAGCTGCTTCACATTATTCTGTGCTTTTTTGATGACAAGGCAAAGGCAAGAACCTCACCACAGAATGAGAAAAATACAAAAACAAAAACTGATGATAAGCAATACAAAGAAATGAGCAGAAAAACAAACAAACAAAAAGTTTGTGATGGAAAATACTATTTTGATAGCAAGGATTGTCACGGTGAAGTGTTCTTGACAAAGTCGCAAAACAAAAGGATTTTCATACTGTGGCTGCCCAGAGGAATGTTAGAAGGCATTTACGTCATTATCTCCTCTTTTTCTTTACCCTGCCTAAAATCTTACTTTTCTGATGACTCTTTAAGATCTTAGCATTTCTTACTACAGATTCCCTTCTTTTTTGTGCACCACCACCACTGTCTTAAACAAACAGTCTATATGGTATGTAGAATTCACTGCATTCCAAAAGAACTTCCTAACTAATATACCATGAAGAGAAAAGGTTCTCTTCAGAGGTTGAGAAATTAAATAAAAAATCGTTTTAAAAAAGTCAAAATCCTCTGAAGACTTTTTAAAACAAGAAACCAGACCAAATTATTTCTTACTTCACTTAGCAATCCACCACCGCAGCCAACATCTAGAATCCTTAGTCCAGAAAGTGGGTTTCCCAGTTGATGATGATTCCTCATGTTCAACAGGGTATCTCTAAAAGCAAAGGGATGTGATTAAGCACAAACACACAAGGTGGTTTAACAGACATTATGTGCATTTATCTTACATACTGGTTATTGTAATTCTTTTACAACATTTTCTCATATTGCAAAGAAATAACATCTGAAAACTGTTTGCACCTTCAAAAACATACCTAATAAATGGCACTCTAATATCATTCATAGAATGAAGGGCTGAATATTCCCCTTCTTCATCCCACCATTTATGTGAGAGGAGCTGGAATTTTTTCATTTCTTTTGAATCTATTGTTGAGCGCGAAGTGCTGAAAAGCCTCTTCATGGTGAACCTAAATAACAAAAGTGAAATGCCATGAAACTTATTTTGATGTTTCATGTTAGCTGAAATACAGGAAAAAACAAGTTCTTGAAGAAATTCCCTTTTTCCTCTACAGATGCTAGCTATGCTTGACTAAAACTGTAGGAATTACACACTGTAGGAATAATGTGTTTTCTAAAACAGATGACTCCATGGCTATAACTTTGGAGCAGTAATTATTAAAGCAAAAATATCCAACACCAAATATCTAAATATTTGTGAGATTTAAAAATAATCTCATGTGACACTGTCACAAAGTAAAATTGTTACAGAAAATGCCACTCATCATTTAAGAATATTTTAGACACAATACTTACAGGCTCTTTATTTCAGTTAGAGAGGCAGGCAGAGCACTACTGGATTTCAAATGTTTTTTCCAGGTAGCGTTCTCAAGAGTACCCCTTGGGCCTGTCTGAAAAGACACATCACCAAGGTCACCTGCGTGAATGAAAAAAAAAGGCAAAAAATCCTACTTAAACAGTGCTGCTTCAGCAACTTTTAAACCTAGCACTCACCAGTATGCAGTCCCAGTTCTACTGATTACACTTACAGTAAAACAGGGAAGCCAGTGGCTCGCTTGCCATGGCAGCACCCATTTTACAGGCTTTTCTGGGTAATTAGCAGTGCATATCATTGCCCGCCTGCTCGCTGTGCTACTTAAGGCACACAGAGGCAATATGCAAGGACAGCATACGTTAATTTACCCGTACGTGTCAAAATACACGTGGTGACATTTCTCAGAGTGTCTAGGCAAAGCAGTTTTTCCATCTACCTGAAATGTTTCACGGCTAGTGATAATTTTGCTCTAAAATGCCTATTCTAACCACTAGTTGCACACGCCATAAATGACTGTCAACATGGGACTATGATTCTTCATTCATTCCATACCAGAGTAAAAACTGGGAGCGCGTGTGCGCACAGATGCGACCGCTCTCGGCAGAGGCTGAGCAAGCACTCAGCGAGACCCGTGCCACCAAGCAGAAAGATCAATCCAGATTTAAATTTTATTTCACTTTAAAATTTTATCACTTTATTTTTTTTAATTGTGACATTCATAAAAAACAAACAAAAAAACCGCCATCGGCGTTTTAAATTTAATTTAAAATAAAACGTTAAGCGGCGAAAAGCGCAGGCAACGAAGGCGCCGCGGG